TTGAGAGAAAAATCTTGGTTTCATACAATAAGCCAATATCATTTGTAACCAGCGAGATGTCATCAACATATAAAATGAGAAATATGATCTTGCTCCCACTGAACTTCAGATATATACACCGATTAACAGTGTTTTCGTTAAATTCAAATGACGTGATTGTATCATTGAACTTAAGATACCATTGTTGGGAAGCTTGCTTGAGTTCGTATATTGATTTCTTCAGTTTACACACCATGTGTTTCTTTTCTTCAACCGAAAATCCTTCAGGTTGACTCATGCAGACCTCTTCATCTAAATTCACATTCAGAAAGACACTTTTCACATCCATTTGGTGTAACTCCAAATCATAATGAGCTACTAGTGTCATGATAATTATAAATGAATCCTTCTTAGAAACTTGAGAAAATGTTTCTTTATAGTCGATGTCATATTTCTGAGTGAAACCTTTGACAACAAGTCTGACTTTATATCGTTCAATATTGTCATTCGAGTTGCATTTAGTCTTAGAGACCTATTTACACCCAAATCTTTTACAACCTTCAGACAATTCAACGACATTTCAGACTTTGTTGTGATCCATCGATTTCAACTCATCTTTCATTGCATCTAACCATTTAGAAAAATTTGCACTTTCTATGGCTTGTAAAAATGATATTGGATCTTCATTGATTCCTAATTAAAATTCAGACTCATGTAGATAAAGCACAGAAGCATCAGAAGTAACAAACCATTTTTGTCGTTCTGACTTTCTATGTACTACTTCATGTGGTTCATCTAATGTAGGTTCATTAGTGACAGTTTTATTCTGGGGTATTTGATCATATATATGTTATTCTTGTAAGTTGTCAAATTGTTCAACAACTGTAAAAATAACAACTTGAGAATAAATTTTGGGTAAAGGAACTTGAAACCTAATTTCTTGGATCTCCACTTTACATGGTTCCAAACTCCCACTAACTTCACCATTTTCAATGAACTTAGCATTTTCAGTTTCAATAATTCTTGTATTGTGGTTAGGACAAAAAAATCTATACTCTTTAGATTTTTCTTGATAGCTAATGAAGAAACCATTGATTTTTCTCGAGTCCAGTTACTTTTCATGTGAATTATATAACCTTATTTCTGCTGGGCAACCCCAAGCAAGCAAGTGCCTTAAACTAGGTTTTCTTCCTGTCCACAATTCAAAAGAAGTCTTTGGAACTGCCTTACTAGAAATCCTATTTAACAAATATGCAGCAGTTCTTAAAGCATGCATCCACAATGATGAGGGTAAAGAAAAATTACTCATCATACTCCTAACCATTTCTATTAGAGGACGATTTCACCTTTCTACAACACCATTTTGTTGTGGTGTTCCTGACAGATTGTATTGAGCACATATGTCATTAGTTCGAAGAAATTTAATAAATTAACTTGAGCAACATGTACCTTACATAATATTCACCACATCTATTAAACCTGATAATTTTCACTTTTTGTCTAATTGTATCTCAACCTCAATTATAAACACTTTTAAGGCATCTAATGATTGATATTTTTCATGTAATAAGTAGACATACCCATAATGTGAAAAGTCATCAATAAAAGTAATAAAATATTTTTTCTCCACCAAAAGATGGAACGTTAACAGATTCACAAACATCAGTGTGTATAATTTCATGAAGTTGTGTGCTTCTTGTGACGTCTATCTTAAGTGTGTGTTTTCTCTTAATACAATCTACACAGATGCCAAAGATCAGTAAAATCTAAATCATTAAGGATTTCATTATTTACCAAGATTTCAAATCTTTCCTTGGATATATGACCCAAACATATATGTCACAAATAAATTGAATTTTCATTCATAAAATCACGTTTAGCACCAACTTTATGACGCAAGGTCATCAAAGTCTCAACAAAAATGTTATCTAGTTTAAGCTTATATATACAATCACAAAGAATACCAAAACCAATGAGATGATTGTGTTTAAACAGACTGAAATATCCATTTTCAAATTTAAAAGAGCATATAACAAAATCAAGTTTAGATAATAAAATCAAATAATGGGAAACATAAGTGGCATAAAGTGTTTGAAAAGGGTCTAATTGATGTTCAGTATCTAAAATTAATCAATAAATTCCAATAACTTCAACTTGAGCTTTGACTCTATTTCCCATGAAGACAAAATTTTCATTTGGGTTTATGATTTGGGTTGTGAGGAATCCCTATATCATATTAGAAACATGAGTGCTACAACTAAAATCAATCCACCAGGTATTATAAGAAACTTTAGACAAATTCGATTCGAAACATATAGAAACACAATGTTTACAATTCTTTTTGAACCACTCTTTGCTCTTCTGACACTCATTTTGATAGTATCTAGTCTTTCTACAAAAATGACACTTAATTTCTGTATGTTCTTTTTGAATTGGGGCAGACGACGCCTTAATCTTTAGTGGTTTTTGTTTGCCCTTTTCATTTTTCTTTTCAGGTTTCTTTACAACTATTCGTTTATGACCCATGCGATTAATGGAGTGATTTTCTCATTTCTTATGCCTTACTTCCTCTTGAATGAGCATACATTGCAGTTTATTTGCATTTCACTTATCTTTTATAGTGCTGTAGTTCATATGAAATAGACTATACTCAGAAGGTAAAGAGTTAATGATAAATTGCACAAGAAAATTTTCATTCACTTCCATTCTCAGGGTCTTAAGGCTTGTTGTTATGTTCTTCATTTCAACGACATACTCATGCATAGTACGAGAACCATTAAATTTCATGTTAGTTAACACACTCAATAGTGTCCCAATAAGAGACTTATCAGTAGAGTCATACTGAGAATAACCCTCAACAAATTTCAAGAATTCATTAGCACTTTTAATGTTAAAAAATGTACACTTTATGTTGTTTGCCACAGTCATTCACATAAACATTGAGCTTAATCTGATGGATTTCTCCCAAGTTTTATGGAAAGATCTTTGCTTAGCACTTCTAGAATCAGTAAGTGCAGGAGGTTTGTCAGTCGTGAGCGTCAAATCAAGATCAGAACACCATTGTGAAACTAGACTTGCTTGCGTCGTTCAGAGAAATTAAGCTCATTGAACGTCTAAATAGATGTAGCTTGTGAATGAAAAGAAACAGGAGTAGATACTGCAAATAAATAGAATGTACTCATACATCAATGCTTCGACTATTAAACATAAACAAATATTCATATCGAATTATATTAAATGAAAACATTAATAGCATATTGAAAATCTCCTTTATGTCATATAATAATACACAATAATAAACATAATTGATGTTTGATTTTGATTTAATATAATTAGCAATTGTTTATACTTAAATTAGACATGTCTATTATATTTGGATATATAAACATATCTAACCAAATATATAAATATGCCACACCACAATCATATTCAAAGAACAATCATATTCAAAGATTATAAAACAAATAATCAACCTTTGGGAATCCACAAATATTTTATAATCAATGAAATTTAATATACATATAATAAAATATAAAATTATTTCATAATAAGCATCGCAGACTCATGAATAATTAAATTTATTTAATTTGACATCCGTTAAACATACTAATTTGGTCACTTTGGTGACTAACAAATTAAACATAATATAAACATCAAATAAACAATCATTTCAATCACAACAATATATATTTCATAATATAAATTAATAATAACAAAAATTATAGGGTAGGTAGATTAACGAAGAAGGCAGACCATAAATACACAAATTCATAGTCTAACAAAACTCAAAATAATATCTTGATTCACCAATTAACTTTAGTGATCTAATTCCAAGCTCTAATTTACAACGGAGATCAAATGCAATTAATTTAATTAAAAAATAATGAAAAAACACAAATTCAACAATCAAGACTCAGTGCTACATGTTAGAACTTTCATCTGTGATCCAACTTTATGACTAAAACACTTTATGCATATACTGACCAAGATATTTGAATTCATGTTTTTTACATATTCATTCATAAGAGAAAAAAACTTACTTGTATGCATGATTGTAGAATTGTACATGAGAAGATGGAGTTTCTCTTTCTAATCCCCTGAAACTTTCTGTATTTTCTTATAAAGAGAAATATACTATGTCTGTTAGGAAGAGAGATGACCCTTCTCTGAATTATGCGTTATTTAACCACCATAATAAGGGGAGTTATTGAAAGATAGGATTTATGCTAATTTAATTGATTAATTGATATTTGTTATTAAAATAAATGACACATGCTAGTTACCACCATCCAGAAGGGGTTACTTATCAAAAAGAATTTAAGATAATCTAACCACCATCCATAAAGGGGTTACATATAAAAAAAAATTAAATTAATTAGTTAAAATAAGTAACCCGCATTAGTAACCACCATCCATAAAAGGGGTTACATATCAAAAAATATTTAAATTAATTAAATTAAATAAGTAACACACATTAGTAACCACCATCCATAAAAGGGGTTGCATATCAAAAAAGATTTAAATTAATTAATTAAAATAAATAACACCCATAAAAGGGTTTACATATAAAAAAGGATTTAAATTAATTAATTAAAATAAATAACACACATTAGTAACTACCATCTATAAATGGATTACATATCAAAAATGATTTAAATTAATTAATTAAAATCAATAACACACATTACTAATCACCATCCTAAGGGATTACTTATAAAAATGTTTTAAAATAGTTTAATTTATTAATTGTCATTTATTATTGAAGTAAATGACACAGTTTGTGGGTACTGTGGGCCACAATTAAAAATTTAACAAAATTTACATACACACCACACGATGCTTATGTATTTACATTTCTAATTTTAATATTTACACATATAGCACCTTGTCATCAAAATCTATGCATTAAAAGTTGTATTTCACTTTTGAAAAAAATTAGTGAAGATGATATTTTTGCAAAGAAGCTATATTTTTTAAGGGGTATGTTTATATATATGAATGTTCTAAGCTTAAGACAAGTAAATACATAAGAATTGTGAGGGGCTACAACCTGCATCAATCTTGTTGCTGCACACGATGCTGTCTACGTTTACTGCGGGTGTAGCTGTTTCTTCTCACTTCCCTCCTTCAGTGTCTCCTGTTTTTCCCAGCAATCTTGCTTTCTTCCCTGGCGATGAGGGGAGATCGAGTTTCCGTTCTTATAAAGCTGGGATAATATTGAAATCCTCAAGCTTCCGGCCTATATTTTGTTCTTCCAGCGGAAACTCCCTGCCGGCTGGGGAGAACTTATCCAGGTTTATTAGCTCCTCCTGTTTTGTTGTTTGCTCAAGCTAGGTTTTCACTCATATCGGGGCGCTAGCATATGCATAGCTTGGGTGTAGCTGTTTTGAAGTTTTCAGAATTGTTGGTATTAATATGATGAGTTTTTTCTTCAGAGCTGGCGAGATTATCTTTTCCGTCTAAATTATACTGGATTTCAGCTTTCTAATTGAAAGAGGAAAAAGTATATTGTCAGGATATCCTATCAGACTTTTGCTAATTTTTTTTATACATGTCCATTAAAATTCAGTTGTATAATCTTACAATCTTACTGTATTTTTCTTCTACATTCAGATTTACAGTTAGATAGCAGTTGATAATAACTTTGTTAGTAAAATTTGTTCCATTTTGACAATAATGCATTACAATTTTCTGACAGAAAAAAATATTTTTGAAATGTGGTATCGATTGTGATATAAGCATCTATTGTTCAACTAAGCTTAAATATGCTCTAGCCTGCAGGAGTGGAAATCATATTATAATTTATTTCTTTTAATTTTTATCAATGGAGTTGTTTGCTTTTGGTCAGCTTTTGCATTATAGAAGGGCCAGATACTGTTGAGGACTTTGTTCAGATGCAGCTGCAGGAACTTGATGACAACATAAGAAGTAGACGAAATAAAATTTTCCTTCTCATGGAAGAGGTTATATGAAAACTTCGCTTCTATTTACCTTGTTCATTAATTTCTTGATGGTATCGGTAGATTTAACAAAAAATTTCTTCTTTTTTAGCTATAAATTTTGCTTCCATAGTTTTATGTTATTTTCTGTTTTTGATGATTCATTCGTTGATTTTTTATGTCTGTGACTAAGATAACATATAGAAATCTTCACTTTCCACAACTTGTAATCCTTTGCTTCTATTTACGTAGGTGAGGAGACTGCGCATACAACAACGAATAAGAAGTGTGAAGTCCAACAATGAGAGAATTGATGAGAACGAAATGCCTGACATGCCATCAACCATTCCGTTTCTTCCCAACACGGCGAGTTTTTGAGCAACTTTGTTGCATCAAACTTTAATATTTATTTTTTCGGTACATACATAACACTCAATTTCTTTGTATTTACATATCTAGCACCTAAACCTTAAGTTTTATATTTATACCACCCAAATCTTTCACGTCACATTAAAAATATCACCATTTTAACTTTTAAAACGTGAAATACATTTTTTCATGCATATATAAGGTGGTATGATGTAAAAGTTGAAGTTTAGGTGTTAGACATGTAAATACATAGAAATTAAGTGAGAAATTAAGTGACATTTATGTAGACATTTATGTAAATCTTCCTTCTTTTTTAAAGTTTCAACACTTATGATATTGCTTTACAGACACCAAAGACTATGAAGCAGCTGTACTCGACTTCTTTTTGCTTGGTTTCGGGCATTATCATGTTTGGAGGTCTTCTTGCACCCATGGTAGGTTGCTCTATTAATATTGTTCTTTTTAGTACTTCATGTAATGAACACCTTCACTTGTTTTCTATTTTGTTTTAGGGCCATTTACATTTATCTTCTTACATTTCCCACACCTAAACTTTCAACATAGCACTTAAATTTTTAATATAATATAAAAAATAGCACTATTATCATTTTTTTTAAAGTGAAGTACACCTTTTCATGCATAGATTTAAAATAACAAAGTGCTACATATGTAAATATGAAAGTTTAGGTTTGAGATATGTAAATACATAAGAACTGTGTGCTACGTATGTAAATTTCCTTTATTTTTATTGTTGTTTGTTTATGACTCTAATGAGTAATAGTGTATAAACTATTCATTCTGTCCTGGAGATTTTATAACATATGCATCTTTTTAGTAAAGTTTGTTTATTCAAATTATGATGAGATCACTTTCTTCTATCTAAAAAATTTTTGGCTTTTGTGAGGCTTATATAGGTTCAAGTTCTCCAAGATATTGATGAAATTTATAGTTGTTGCTTAACATACATTGTGGGTGGGTCATATTTTCTGCCAAGCATATCTTTACATTTTTATTCAAAATTATATCTGTCCCCAGCATGAATATGTTCATTAAGTGTTATTTTTTTTATTTATTATTCAAAGTATCTATATGTTATTCTTGAAATTCATCTGATGCTTGAGAGCATATATTTATTTAGTGTTATTTTTCTTTCCAGAAAACTTCTAATGTTAGCATAGTTACTTTAAAAATTTTATCCATTATTTAATTTACCTAAAGTTTTAACCTAAAAAACAGAAAGTGAAGAGAAAATTCATTTCTTCTTATTGATTCAATTCAAATTGCCTTTACATATAGGAGTCCCTCCTCCTTAGATAAGGAAACTAACTAAATAAGTTTAAATAATTTCCTATTACATTGCAAGACTAATTAAGCAAGATTTGATACAGATATCACATGATATAAATAAGGAAGGAGAATAATATCTATATAAGAGGAAAGACAATAAATTGTAATTTGAATTAAATCTTTCAACACTCTCCCTCAAGTTGACATGAAAATATCTTTCAGAGCCAGCTTGCACACTAAATCGTCGAACTGTTTGTTGTGAAGACCCTTTATTAGAATATTCACTGCTTGGTCGTTAGAGGGAACATACACCATGCAAATATCTCTTCTGTCAATTTTTTCTTTGATGAAGTGTTTGTTTATCTTTACGTGCTTTGTTCTATCATGAAGGACATGATTGTGGGCGATGACGATGTCAAACTTATTATCACAGTACACCTTTATTGGTGGTGAACTATGAATTTTTAACTCCTAGAGAATTCTTCTAATCCATAGAACTTCACATATCCCATGGGCCACATATCTGAATTCAGCTTCAGCGCTGCTTCTTTCCACGACACTTTGCTTCTTGCTCCTCCAGGTTACTAAGTTTCCTCCTAGAAAAGTGCAGTACCCTGAGGTTGATATTCTATCTGTAACACTCCCAGCCCAATCTGCATCTGTAAATGCTTCTACCTATAAGTGCTCATTTTTCTTGAACAGTAGTCCTCTTCCGGGTGTTCCTTTCATATATCTAAGGATCCGATAGACAACCTCCAAGTGATGAGTATTTGGAGAATGCATAAACTGACTTACCATACTAACAACAAATATTATATCAAGACGAGTGTGTGACAAGTAGATTAGTCTTCCCACCAGTCTCTGATATTATTCTTTATTGACACAATCTATTTTATTTGTTACTTGTAACCTTTTATTTGGTTCAATCGGGATTTCAACTGTTTTGCACCCAAACATTCCGGTTTCACTGAGTAAGTCGAGTACATACTTTTGCTGATTAATAAAAATCCCCTTCTTAGATCTGACAAACTCAATACCAAGAAAGTATTTTACATCTCCCAGATTTTTAATCTTAAATTCTGTGGCCAATCTTTTTCCTAGCATCATCTCCTGTAAGGATAATATCATCTACATAGACAATGAGTATAACGAGTTTACCAGTTTCTGAATGTTTGTAGAACATAGTATGATCAACTTGACTTTGAGTGTATCCATATTTTGTAATCACCTTTTCAAACATCTCAAACCAGGCGCCAGGAGATTGCTTGAGCCCATACAAGGATTTCTTTAATCTGCACACTGTCTTCTCCAAACTTCTTCTCAAATCCTGGTGAAAGATCCATGAATACCTCCTCTAATTCACCGTTTAGAAAAGCTTTTTTAACGTCAAGCTGATGTAAGGGCCAATTACGGTTTGCTGCTATAGACAGTAAAATCCGAATTGAATTGATCTTGGCTACCAGAGCGAATGTCTCCTGATAGTCAATTTCATGAGTTTGAATGAATCCTTTCGCTACTAATCTTGCTTTATATCTTTCGATACTCCCATCAACTTTACTTTAGTAGTAAAGACCCATTTACACCCAACAGTAGACTTGTTTCTTGATAGAGTGACAATTTCCCAAGTCCCATTTTTAAAAAGAGCATCAATCTCTTCCTTTACTGCTATTCTCCAATTTGGATTACTAAGAGCTTCCTGTATTGTTCTGGGTTCAAATAGATTAGAAATTTTTGACAAAAAAACTTGATGTTTGTGTGAGATTTTTTTATAGGATAGATATTTCAAAATGAGATATTTGGTAGTACGAGAATGTGTTCATTTTCTAAACTCTATAGGAAGATCCAGATTCATAACTTCTGAATCTTGAGCTTCTGTTGGTCAAAAAATAAGATCAAGATCAGAAATTATCTGTGTTTCTTGAGGACCATCATTCGGTTCTTCAGATTGGGAGGGAGCTAAAGATTCAGTTTGAACTTTTTTTCTTTTATGGAGTCTTTTCTTAGAATAAACAAGGGGTTCTGCTGTTGTATTATGCGGTATTTCTCCCCCTGTATTAGACAAGATACTTTCAAACGTTTATTGACTAGGATTATTTTTATTTTCAATAACTATTTCTGGTTTTTTGTTTTCACAGACCTCAGGTGTACTTGATGTTACAACAATTTTTGGTAATGGATTAGAAACTTGCCAAAAATCTTCTTCTCCATCTATATTATACTCCCCATGAAGTGGATTTTTGTGAAAGAAGAGAATTTTTTCCATGAAGATCACATCCATACTAATGTAAATTTTTTTGGTGACGGGATTCAAGTATTTGTAACCCTTTTTGTTTGAGGCATATAAAAAAAAATGCATTTTTCAGATTTTGGATCCAATTTTGATTGATAATTATTCGGAATATGAACGAAACATGTGCATCTAAAGATTTTTAAAGGAATATTTGAAGGCATTTGTAGATTTAAAAAACTATTTTTCAGTTTGTTTAGAGAAGTTGTATATTGTAAAACTCGAGTTGACATTCGATTTATTAGATATGATGTTGTTAAAACAGCGTCCCCTCATAAATATTTAGGAAAGTTCATTGAAAACATGATAGCCCGAGCAACCTTAAGTAAATGTCTATTTTTTTTTTCAGCACTTCCATTTTGTTGTGGAGTGTCACGACAAGTAGATTGATGAATTATGCCTTTGTTTATTAAGAACTTCCCTAAACATTCATTAAAATATTCAGTTCCATTGTCAGATCTAAGGATGCATAGCATATTATATTTTAGTTTCAAATTTAGTTTCAATCATGTTGTAAAAATCTTTAAAAAAAATTTCAACTTCTGATTTTTGCTTATAAGATAAACCCAACATATTCGGGTGTGATCGTCAATAAAAGTCACAAATCACCTTTTCCCAAATAATGTTTTGACTTTTGAAGGTCCCCAAACATTACTATGGATCATGTAAAAAGGTCTTGAAGGATAGTATGATTTTGGGGCAAAATTTATGCGATGACTTTTTGTCAAATAACATGGTTCACATTAAAGTAAAACACAATTAACACCCTTAAAAAAATTAAGAAATAAATGTTTTAAATAAGAAAAACTTGGATGACTTAGTCTAAGATGAGATTCCATTATTTTCTCTAATGTAGAGTTCGACCTCATACTGCTGTAGATTTCAACCTCTTTTTTCCTAGGAACAGTATCCTCAAAGTAGTAAAGTCCTCCTATCTTCTTAGCTCTCCCAATCATCATTCCCGACTTCTGGTCTTGAAAAACACAAGAAGATTCACAGAAAATTATACGACAGAATCTTTTGAAAGTTTGTTGACGGATAGAAAATTACATTTGAGTTTTGGAACATGGAGTACAAATTTAAGACCTATACTTTTGGACAAGTTAATGTTTCCTTTTCCAACAATGGAAGAGAAACTACCGTCAACAATACGAACCTTTTCATGGCCAGAACATGGGATGTATGAATGAAATAAATAGTGTAAATTTGTCATGTGATCCGAAGCTCCTGAATCAATAATTCAAGGGTTTAGTTGTCTACCCGCATGTACCATTGAACAATTTGGAGTACCAGTAGCCAAACTGGGGTTTAGCAGATTCAGGAGTTGATCGATTTGCTCTTTGCTAAATGGGCTGGTTTGTT